CCCCCGGGCCCTGGCCTGGCCCACTCGCGCCAAGGTCAGCCACTCGGCAGGCCTGGGCCACGCGGCCCCAGAGAAAGGCCAGGGCCCCGTCCTCCCTGTGTGAGGGAGATGGCTCCCAACGAGAGCAGAGCACCAGGGTGGGGGCAGCCCCCGCAGCCCTCCATGCCCTGGGTGGCCACTCCCAGGGACAGCCTGGAGACGGTCCCCTCTCCTGCCTCCTCCAGGGGCGAAGCCCTTCCCCGCCATGAGCCCATGGCGTCCTCACTTGGACCAGCCAGCCCAGGATGCGCCGGGGCAGCCGGGGGCGACAGGACGGGGGCCGCCCCAGGGATGGAGCTCGCAGGCCGGGAAGAAGGGGCTGCCCCCAAAGTCACCCTGACCATCTGCAGTTCGGAGGATGAATCAGAAGCGACTGCAGGCTCAGAGCGAGACCCCCTCTTTGCCGTCCAGGAGAGCCTCCCAGAACAGAAAGCACCCGGACAAATCCCACCACTGGACGCACCCACAGCCCAGGCCACACGGCGCACACAGCCGGCCGTGGAGCGGCCGCAGGTCACGGTCAGGCCCCCGGTCGTGCACACGGTGCCGCCCCTTCCCACCACCCAGCACCAGGCACCAGGCCGTGAAGACCGGCAAAACCAAGGCAGGAGTCTTCAGGGGGGAGAGGGCGAGACTGGGAACGCGGGAGCCCTGCCTCGCACCACGGCCCAGACAGGGGCTGGCCCCGCACTCGCGCCTCCGCGGGGTGCTCTCCGCAAGCATCCCGATGTCCCCACGGCTCTTCCCCTGATGAAGCCACAGACAAGCTTTCCTGCAGGAAAAGCAGCCAGACGCAGCCCCGAGGCTTCACACAAGCTCCAGGAGCACAAGGGCAGCTCAGGGGAAGGCGCTTCTGAGCCCAGTTCCGAGCTGCGTTGGCCACAGTCTGGGGAAAGGCCGGTGGGCGACCTCGGCCCCTCGCCACATCATTCCGCGGCCTTGGAAGACCCTCGGGGAGGACCGGCCAGCTGTGCCCTCAGCAGTCAGCCAGCACCAGCTCCCAAAGGGAGGAGCAAGACCGACGTCCCCAGATGGCCAGGGACGGGACTGGCCGAGGACGGGACAGGGCCTGAGAGCCTGATCTCTATGGACAAGAGCCCCCTATGTGAGCGAGAAGGACGCAGCGGGACCCTGTGGTCACCAGAGTTGACCTGGCCCTCAGCCAGGGCTGGAGGCAGCACCAGCCACAATCGTGGCCAGAACAGAGCGACATTCTCAAATGAACAACTAAAACCAAGCTTCAGAGCGCCCGGGCGGGTGACGGCTGCGGGGGCCTCCAGGAGTCCCCCGGCTTCAGCGACAGGTAATGCCCTGAGCCCAGGAAACAGGGTGGCAGAAGAGTCGGCCCCCTGGCAGGAGGGAGGCAGCCCTGTGCTGCCCACAGGCCCCGGTCTAGTGGTGCAGGAGCCCACTCCCCAGCCTTCGAGGTCCCTGCCCACTCCCCTGCAGGAGGCTGCCAGCACCCCACTCCCACTGGTCACGCCCAAGGAGGCTGCTTCCCATAAACCAGCCACAGGCAAAATGGAGGTGGCGGCTGGAAGCAGAAACGCAGGTGCTGTGCAGTGGAGCCATCAGGGGAACAGCCCAGAGCCCTGGACTCCTGCGCCAGGCAGCCTGGTGCCACAGGAAGGCCACAAGGAGGGGGCTTTGAGCCACACCTTGGGCACCAGGCCACTGCCTTCGGACAGCCAGCCAGCCACAGGCAGGGCGCTCCTCTGGTCCAGAGAGCAGCTTCCTGCAGGCGCTGGGCTTTCCCACCAGCCTCCCTGGGGGGCGACAGCAGCAGAAGGGCAGGGGGCAGACAGGGCGGCCTGGAAGGACGCCAACCTCCAGGCGCCCGGGCAAGTCGTGGCTGGGGAGAAGCAGCGACCATGGGCTGGCCTGGGCAGTAGAGAAAGTCTCCGTGGGCAAGAGGAGGGGGGCCCTGTGAGTCTGAAGGGTCCTGGAAAGAAGGGAGAAGCCTGTTTAAGTGAGAAGGCCAGCTCGAATGGGGCTGAGGCCGCGAGCTGGCCCCGGGACGAGGCTGCGGGGGATGACACGGTGGCCCCGACAGAGGAGGCTCCCGGCCCGCACACTGGGAGAGGCCCAGAGCACCCACTGGGGCAGGGGGCAAGGCGTGCAGAGGGCCTCCCTTGGGGACCCAGAGCCCAGGCAGCCGGGAACCAAGCTCCTTCCCCTGCAGAGAGCCCGATGCGCCGGACACAGGCCCCGGCTGGCAGGGTGGTGCCCCCCGGCTTGGCACGGCCCACAGGCAGCTCAGCGGAGGTGGTGCCCATCGTGAGCAGAAGTGTGGCAGCCGGGAGACCGGACCCCAGGGGTAGCCATGGGGGGCCTGGAGCACCATGCCGGGCAGGGGAGAGCCAGACAGCCCCCGGTCCCCGGCCAGCACAAGGCCCCGCAGTGCCCACATCCCCGCTGGGGGGCTGCCACGTGCCTGGTGCCCCAGCCCAGGAGAGGTCTCCGGACACCCACAGGGCTGGGAGAGGCTCACTGGGACGCGGACCTGGCGGGAGGGCAGCCCACCTGGCCAAGTACAGAGCCCAGAGCTTCAGCGACCAGAAGTCCTTTGATCTGTCCTTCAGACCAATGACTCTCAGGGCCAATGACACGTTCACACTTCCCAAGTGAGTCCCCGCGGGAACCAGCAGCCTTGCTCTGAGCGCAGTAGGGCCAGCAGAGTCGCTCTGTCTGTGGTGGCCCTGGGAGGACGTGAGCCTCGTGGCCTGCCACTGTGGCCGTGCTGGCAACACCCTGCCTGAGCTGGCGTCTTCACCAGGGGCGTTCAGGTCCCGCTTGTCTCTGTGCAGAGCAGGTGTTTCTAGGCTTCACCCTTTGGTGCGGAGCTTGGAGTGGGTCTGTGTGTCCCCTCCTGGGGGCTCGGGCTTCAGCTTTGAGGGCTCTCTGCCCCTTGTGGGGTCCCCAGCTGGCAGGCGCCTATGTGGCCCATCCTAGCTCAGACTCGGTGGGGACAGTGAGTGTCCCCCTCCGGTCCTGGAAGAAGACAAAGGGCTTCAGTTTGACGTAGTTTGACTCCTGGGTGGCCTGTGACCTTGACCCTGCCGGCCACGAGACGGTCAAGGAGACACCGGGATGCGGGTCTGGCCCCTCCAGTCCTGCTCAGGAAGGCCAGCTCCTGGGCCCAGCCTGGAGGGAGCCGACGGCCCAGGAAGGACGACAGTGGCCGTTAGCGCCGTTTTCAGGCTCCCAAGTCCAAGGACGCTGTTGTTCAGAGACTGTGGGGCGGAAAGTGAAACATCGCCCAGTACTGGTCTGTCACTGTCACCACAGCAGCCTCCCTGAGGCCCATGGGGACCCTGGATGGCGGCGCCCGGGTGCCGGGAAAGCTGCTTTCCCACGAAGCACGCCGGTCCCCGGCCACTGCCCTAGACGCCACACACTGCGTCCTCGGCCACTAAGGACAATGCACTTTCAGTCTGGAATGCTCGCATGTTGTAGAAGTCTAAGGAAGGAAATAAAAGTCTCCGTAAGCGTGCTGCCTGGAGGTGATTTTTCACTTTGTTCTCCAAGCTTGTGCCCTGCCTTGTTCCTAAAGCAGATGCCGGGTCACGGCTCCCGTGCATTTCCACCTTAGTCACAGGGCAGCCGTGAAGGGGCTCAGTCCCAGCGGCCAGGGCCCCGGGACGAGCCCAGTGGGACCCCCACCCCTGCCCGGCTCTCTGCCTGTGGTGACGCCTCTTGCAGAAAGTGGGTTCTGCTCTGTGAGGACTTCTCTTTTTTTAAACTTTAATGCACTTTTTAAAGGTTACTTTCCACTTACAGTTGTTACAGAACATCGGCTCCGTTCGCAGTGTGCACAGCCCATCCTCGAGCCTGTCTTACACCTGACAGTTTGTGCCCCTCCCGACCCTGCTCACCACTCGTGTGCTCTCTGTGTCTGTGAGCCTGCTTCTTTTTTGTTATATTCACCAGTTTGTTGTATTTTCTAGATTCCACATGTAAGTGATATCATACAAATATTTCTCTGTCCAACTTACTTCACTTAGCAGAATGCCCTCCAAGTCCTCCCATGTTGCTGCAAATGGCAAGATTTCATTCTTTTTATGGCTGAGTAGTATTCCACGGTGCATACACGCCACATCCGCTTTATCCAGTCTTCTGCTGATGGACACTTAGGCCGCTTCCATGACTTGGCTGTGGCAAATAGTGCTGCCATGATCGGTGGGGTGCGTGTATCTTTTCGAATTAGTGTTTTTCTCTTCTTTGGATAAATACCCAGGAGTGGGATTGCTGGATCACATGCTAGTTCTAGTTTTAGTCTTTTAAGGAGTCTCCACACTGTTCTCCAGAGCGGCTGCACCAGTTTACATTCCCACCAGCAGTGCAGGGCGCTCCCTGTCCTCCACGCCCTCACAAACATTTGTTATTTGTGTTCTGCGTATGGCAGCCATCCTGGCAGGTGCACGGTGGTGTCTCACTGTGATCCTGATTTGCGTTTCCCTGATGATTAGTGATGTTGAGCGCCTTTTCATGTGCCTGTCCTGCTGGCCGTCTGCATGTCCTCTTGGGAAAAATGTCTGCTCAGGTCTTCTGTCCATTTTTCAACCAGGTTTGTTTTGACGTTGGCTCACATGAGCTGTTCATGGATGCTGGATGTTAACCCCTCATCAGCCACATCATTTGTAAGTAGAGCTCTTCTCCCAGTCTGCAGGCTGCCTTTTCATTTTGTTTATGGTTTTCTTGGCTGTCCAAAGCTTTTCAGTTTAATTAGGTCCCATTTGTTTACTTTTGCTTTTATTTCCTTTACTCTAGCAGACAGATCCAAAAGATACAGCTGCGACTTACGTCACGGAGTGTTCTGCCTGTGTTTTCCTGTAGGAGTTTTATAGCACCTGGTCTTGCATTTAGGTCTTTAATCCATTTTGAGTTTATTTTTGTCCTGATGTTAGAGAACGTTCCATCATCAGTCTTTAACTGTAGCTGCCCAGGTTCCCCAGCGCCGCTTACTGAAGGGACTGTCTTTTCTCCCCTGTATATTCTTGCCTCTTTTGTTGTAGATGATTGACCGTAAGTGTGTGGGTTCATTTCTGGGCTCTCTGTCCTGTTCCGTTGGCCCGTGGGTCTGTTTCTGTGCCAGTACCACACTGCTTTGATTGCTGTAGCTCTGCAGTATTGTCAGCAGTCAGGGAGCATGATTCCTCCAGCTCTGTTCTTTTTCTCCAGATTGTTTTGGCTATTCAAGGTCTTTGGTGTTTCCATACAAATTCTAAAGCTTTTGTTCTAGTTCTGTGAAAAATGTGATTGGCACTTTGATAGGGATCTGCAGGCTGCCTTGGGTGGCATGGTCGTTGTAACAATATTGGTTCTTCCCATCCAAGAACACAGTTTACCTTTCCACCTGTTTGCTTCGTCTTCAGTTTCTGTCATGGGTGTCTTTTAGTTGTCTGAGTACAGGGCTTCTGCCTCCTCAGGTAGGTTTGTTCCTCTGGGTTATTCCTTCTGATGCGAGGGCGAGTGCATCCTTAATCTCTTCTTCCAAGAGCGGGTTGTTAGTGAGGATCCCTTGACGTCAGCTGGCCTGGCTCTCTCGTCCTGGAGCAGGGGCCTTCACATGGGCTGGGACCGCCTTTTCTTTCCAACTTGACTGTTCTCCTGGAGAGAGGAGGGACCTGACTGTGCTGCGTGAGAACCAGGCCCGTCAGCTCCCCTTCCAGGACAGGCCGGCCGACGGGACAGACGTGCATGGTGGCTGAGGTGGCACTGAGCTGGCCGGCAGGGTGCGAGGTCCCTGATCACCATCTGAGCTTTGTCGAGGCTGGGGCTCACTTCTTGCCTCCCTGCCCTCTCCACCCAGGCACTTAACTCAAAATCTAGCAGATAGGAAACTTCTTAATGCCATGGCCAGGTGAATCTTTGGGTCCCTGGGAGCTCATGGGACGTGCCAGGCCTCCTGGGTCACCCCTGCCGGTGTGGGTGTGCGGGCCCCCTGCAGAGCAGCACTTGGGGCCCAGCACGCGTGTCTGCTGGGTGAGTTGATTGTGACAGTTACCTGATGCATAGTGCTGCCCGGCTGGGGTCTGGGCACCTGGATGAGGACCCCCACTTCTGGGGTGGATCTGGGGAGGGGGCTGCACCTGCTGTGCTTCACTCTTACCCTAGTGGGAGCCGGTTGTGGACCGGACTGAGGTCGCTAGCTCCAGGGCTGGTCCGCCTCCTGGGAGGATGGGGTCAGAGTGTGTGGCCGCAGGGGTCCCGGTGCCCCAGCCCCAGGAGTCTTGGAAAGCCTGCCCCAGACCTGGGGTTGGCCCCCTGGGGCTGCAGAACTGAGCAGGCAGACACGTGGGGGTGGGGTCCCAGCAGAGGCCCCGCGATGGCACCCACTCAGCCCAGGCATCTTGGCCGCAGCTGGGAAGGGGATGCCCCGTTACCGCACCTGCTGGCACCATCCTGTTTATTCTCTCTATATCTGTACTTTGCTCCACAAAGGATTTGAGACAGTGTTTGGCAAAGAACATGATAGCAAACGGAGGAGATAAAAATATCATATTCACTGGGTGTTCCCGTTTTAAAATAAGACGCAGGAGGGTTTTGTTGCTATTTTAAATAGACCAGCATGTCCGCTGGAGAATGTGCCCAGTGGTATCACTTCAAGGGGTGGAAAAATGATCAGAATCTCCCCGATTGCTGCCTCAGAGAAGCTCCACCCTGTGTCCCCCGACGCCTGGTGGGTGCAGCGCAAGCCTGGACCCCAGGGGCCTCGCTCTGGATTCTGTAAAGCGGCTGCAGGTTACACTGCCCCCACTCACCGATGCCCGGCGTGTCCACAAAAGAGGACTGAGAGTGACTTTTCCTGAGGGTTTAACTGCAGTCAGTGGGTGTCACGTTACCCTGGTCCGTAAATTCAGAGGAGAACCGTGGGAGGAAGCGTTTACACTGCGGGTGGGACTGTCTTCTGTACAAAAGAAAGACCCATCAGCTCTCCTGGGTCGGGGCTGGTGGACAGCACGCGTTTTAAATAAAACAAAACCCACCGGGGAAAAAAAGAGGCTGTTTTCATCAGTGTTTTAGTTGACGCTGACTTCTGCATACTCGAGTAGCTGTCGGCTGGCAGCTGACTTCGCTGCTGCACGGCTCCTGCTCCTGCTTGCGGACCCGCGCGTGAGCCACACGTGGGCGCCGTGCGGGAGGCGCACGGAGGAAATGTGGTCGACGGAGGAGCACGGGAGCAAGCTGAGTTTCAGATGCTCCGTCGGGGACGGGGTCGTTCAGAAGGTCAGAAATTCAGCATCCCGTCTCAGGTTTGCAATGAGGGCACCTTTGCCATCTGAATCACGGTTTCCAGGTGTGGGATTATGTCTTAACCCAGAGCTGTTATTCAGGGTTCCTCGCTTTGTCCTCCTTCGTGTGTAAACAACTCTAAAACGGATTCGTTAGACAAAATCTACTAAACACGTTTTGCTCTGTTCTCTCCTTTGAGTTTTTACTATCTTTATTCAGCTGGAAATAATTTCAAAAAGGAAATAAAGTGTATTTCTCATCACATACATCTTCCTTGGCTCAGCCTTGTGGCTGGGGAGGTGCAGCCAGAGGCCTGGGAGGAGAGACCTCGGGGGAGGGAAGACGTCCCTCCCAGGACCGGGCCAGGCCGGCGCCAGCTGGACACCTCTGGAGACACAGGGTCACCGCACGGGAGGGGCGGGGGCACCGCAGGAGGCAGGGCACAGCTGCTCCCAGCCTCCACCCCTGCAGGACGCCCAGGGAACCTGCTGTGCCTGGAGCAGGGCCCTGGGCTCTGAGCACTGGGGGACGGCGCGGGCCTTCTGCGGGGTTGGGGCGTCCAGGCTCCTCCCTCCTGACCTGGTCCTGAAAGTCCCGAGCCCCAGGAGACAGGGCCACTGCGCCCCCCCTCCTGCTGGGGAAGCGCTCCGGGAGGAGCTGACATCATGGCCTCTGAGGACCGGCCAGCGCGGCAGGAGCCCCTGGACACTGGGTTTGTGAGCTCGCCTTCAGCTGTGAGAGCACCAGGGCTTTTCCTCTGAAGGGATGAAGAGCCCACAGGTTTTCCTCTGTCAGCAAAACATTAATCAGTACATGTCCCTGTTTCCTAAGTTCATCTATACGCATCTGAGACGCTTCCAACCGTTTCCAGCGGGGACACAGGTGGGAGCTGCTGTGCTCACGTCCTGGTGACCCGGCCCAAGTTCCCAAATGTCCAGCCTCGCTTTCCCCTCCTGAGTTGCGTGGCCGGGGTTGCCGAGTGGCGTCCGTGACAGAGCCGTCACAGGGGACGGGCAGGTCCAGCTGGACTTGGGGGCCAGCCTGAGCCCATGCTTGTAGGGGTGCAGGCTCACTCTTAGTTCCAGGAGTGACGGTCGGCATCACCAGGGCCACCAGAATGCACTGCAGGCCTGGGAACTTGGGCCCTGGGACCTGCCCCTGGGGTGTGGGAGCCCAGGCAGAGGGAGTGTGGCCCGTGGGGCGAAGCCTGTGCGAGCCTGGTGCCCACCACTCCACCGCTCATCGCCTCCAAGTCTCCCCACAGCTGCAGTTGGGCCCCCATGGGCCTCTGAACCAGGACTGCTGGCGCCCAGGGAGGGTCCTTAACTGTGCACCTGCGCAGGCACGGGGAGCTGGGGGTCTGCCGGGGCCTCAGCTGTCTCCACCCCCAGTGAGCACCGTCGCTCCTGTCTGGTGGGGTCGTGTGGGCACTGGATGGGCACTGTGCCTTCAGCACTGCCAGCTCCATGTGGCCACGCCCATCACACGGGCAGCAGCGGGGCCTCCCTCCCTCTACCTGGCAGCTGTCCTCTGGGGCAGGACCCCGTGGAGGACGAAAGCCCCCAGCACTGGTCTGCACACTGAGCTGACTGACTGCAACCCCCGCGGGAACAGCCCTCCTCTGCCCGGCCTGAGCCGGTTACAGGGTCGCTCTGCCTGCAGGGACGTAACCCCCTCATCCTGACCTCTTGTCTGTGAGGAGAGCATGGGAACCAGGGATACTCGGCCAGCCTCACCGGGCCTCAAAGTCCAGACAGAGGATC